CAAGCTCTGAAGGAAGGCATTAGCAGATCCAATAAGGACGTCTTCAGCAGGCTCCCAGAATGGATCCTCCTCCTGTTTAATATTGCTCACATCCTCACCATCAATGAACCTTTGGTACATTTCCTAAGATCATTAAAATACAAAAATGTTAATTTTTTTTTTGCGTGTGGCGTAGCGCGTAAAGGTCGTCGCATTGCTTGTGTCCTTGTGCACGGCACTTAACTTATGTTTGTCTCTCTCCACCCAGGAGTATGAATTGGTACCTGAAAGGATAGTATGGCATTGAATATATTGGTCATGCGCCCCGGGGGGGCTCACTCTTAATTATTTCTATACGGGTAGGTGCCGCATTTACGGGGGTATTTTTGAGGACTTGGTTGCACAAGTGGGGGAATTTATGGAAGAGTTTCAGCATGTATAAGGTATTATTTGCGAGGACTTGGTAGCACAAGTGTGGGAAATACCAGGTAAAATTGGTAGTTAAAGTCCCTGCCCCGTCCCGTATCATCAAAACATTATAATTTTTCACACGATTTTAGCGAAGTTTTTTGCTAAAATCTCCGTGCCAAACCTACAGTAGAGATCGCGGACATAACTGTGGTCTTATTCACATCAGGAACCAGGACAAGTTTAATTTGTTAGGTTACATGGCCGTAATAGTAGTTCAATTGATACTGGATTTTGGTAAATGGTAGTTTAAGTCCCTAATAATTTTCAGTAGAATAGGTAGCGCAAGTGTCTCATGTCTTGTAGTGGCTGCTGCACACCCCCCTAAGGTTGGTATGCAAGTGAGCCCCCCACCCTTGTAATGCGGGTACAAGCAGCAATGACCAAGGATACTCCCAGTCTGCCAACTCATTATCCAGTGAACAGGGAAATACTGATGCCAGCGCCTTGTATAATCGCCTTTTATAATAATCTGCGGATTCTGATAGGTGCTATGTAAATTCTTGTTCTAAAAAAAAATAAATAAATGTAGTCCTAGTGATATTAATATGAAGCAGTCTGTGATAATAATAATAATATTAATAATATTAATGGTGATCAACCATCTATTTCAACAAAACTTACACAACTAAGCAGAGATGAATTAATATCTGTATAAATTTACTATATAAGCACATTTTCTTTTGTGATAAAACAACCCTAAAAAATAATAAAACTGTTCTTCCCAGGGCATTTATGACAGGTGTTTTAGTTAAAGAACTAACAGCAATAGTTTGTTTGTAGAGGTTAAGTATTTATGAAGTAACAAGGTGACCTACCTGTATAAGGTAACGTCTGTTGATAAACTTGCCTCGAGGCCACACCCATGTGTTACCATTTAATAGATTTTTCATTTTTACCATCACCCTGGATTAATAGTAATAAATTAAAGCTATTAAAGTGAGGTTAGTATTCTTCAAATCTAAGAATTTTTATTGCATAAAGCATTTAAAATAATTAAGAACCCAGTACTTTTGAGACGAGCAGGGGATTACCCCTGTCTACTGGTCCATTAAGCCTCTGTTGTGGAC